CCCCAAAACCCCAAAACCCCAAAACCCCTCAACTTCATAAAGTTTTTGAAGAGATTTTAATTTTTTGAGGCTTTAGAGCCTAACTAGTGTTAAACAAAAGGAGAACTAGGTTTTCATTAGTTATAATAAAACACAAGGTTATTATTAGTAGGTATTGATTCTATGGACTCTTCTCTTAATTTCAAAATACGAATGTTTCTATTTTTGTTCACACTAAAGCTAAACTAGTCTAAAAAGCATGATATAATTTTCCCTTCCTTTTAGCTGCATCCTCTCCATTTTATATGCCCAATATGATTATTTAAAGGTTAGAGTAAGCTTCAAGAATCGCATCTAAAACTTCTTTATTCAGAAATCTTTCTCACAATACCCATTTTCTAAACCCTATGTCCATAAAGCCTTCTTAAAGTCTCTCTTGAGGTCATAAAGCACAAAGAATGCATACCTATCTTAAGGGAAAATTAGTAATTTCTTCATCTCTATAGACTATCTAGACTTAGACCTTCATCCGATATATCAGCGGTAGGCTTCACTTTAAAGGACTTAGGTATAGACCCGTGCTTCTGCAGGCTCCTTAAGATGCCAACAAAACTCTTGAGCCTTAACCTATTGGCAATTCATGACTTGGACATCAATAAAGAATTTTTTATCACCTAAATTAAATTGACAAAATAGTTAAGAAGCGCAAAAGTGATGAATATTTGCCAAAAAATTTATACAATGTCGATAATTCAGGATAAAAAGAAAATGACAGAGACCACAAGTGTTGTCACTCCTTATTTTCTAAATAGTATCTGCTCTGAAGTCTTTTATTTAAAATATGGAGTCATGGCAGATTTCATCTCTGCCATTTCCTTTTTATTTTTGATAAGCATCATTGTATAAAATGTTTGATAAGCTACCTACCGCTTTCGCATTTAGACATATTTTCTCAATTAAATTTAAGTTTAAATTGCATAAAATAATGAGTCACAAATTCTGATATTTCTAAAATTCCAATAATGTATCAAGAGAAGCAATAAAAAATACCTATAGCCGTGTCGTGTCCTTCTAAATGGGAAAATCAGGTTTAGGATTAGTTCCTCGAGGGTTATTATTATTTAATCTGCAAACTCATCAGAAGAGACTAGGATAAGTAGCTATTAAACTTATAGCAACATTTTTAAAAGGACTTATTTTTGCCCAACTTTAACTTTAAAAATATTAAGAAATTGAATAGGGAAGATCTTGAATCTCAAGGCTTAATAATTATTATTCATAATCTTAAAAATCTCTCGAATTATCGAACGAAGAGTTAAACAAGATGTCATTGTGTTTAAATATAGCCTATCTTCTAGTTCATCTCAACTTCATTCGAGATTGAGCAAAGACAATAAACTTAGTTGAAATATCTATAATAGGTTTGTTCAGCGTATTTAAGCAAAGGAAAGTAAAAATCACCTTAAGTTTTTACTGTTTAATGTCTTCTAAAAATACGACTTTCGAATTCTGTTTCGCCTAGTTATCAACATAATAATTCGTATTTATCATCCTAGACCTCTTAGTCTTATAATTGTGGTAAAAATTATAATCTACCACTCCTAAAATTTTACTAAACACATGAAAATCCTCAAAACTCCAGCTTAGTAATGAAGCTTATCCCCAAAAATTATTTTCAAGCTCTAACTTGTAATCTTTGCTGTGGATCATTTCCTGGTGTAAAAATAGCTAAAATAGCTTCTAAAGAGCGAATTCAGTTCAAAATTAGTGTCCTAAAAACTCTATGAGTCTTCCAAATTTTATTGTGAACTAATACGTTTGGGCTTCACCAAATCGTCCTAAATTACATTCGATTATTAACTTACTGCACATTCTGGATTTTTCATTTGGTATATGAGGTTTTAGACTTTATGAGTATGAAAATTTTGATTAAATATATAATTAAAAGATCTCACCCTCTTTTCCGTTGCTCTTAAGACTTCATCATAATTTCTACTGCTGCTTTTTATAGAGATTCCAAAAGTTTTCTTCGAAAGAAAAATGCAGAAGTTCAAAATACCGAAGAAATTTTGAAAAAGATTCGTCACCACAGAATGAGAAAATTTGAGGGTTATGAATCCAGTAGAGGCAATAAATAAAAAAGAGGCATCAAACCAGATTTTTGCCTTATTTTTGGAATGCTTAAATCCTGATATAGCTAAGATTTTGGGTCCCTGAGAGGAGCTATTTCTAGAAAATGGAAACATTTGAAAATTTTGCTCAAGAGATAATCACTGGACTCTGGTCGATTTTTCTTCTTAGAGTAGGGAGTCAGAGAAATTATGCAATCTTGCCAAAATTTATTAAAAAATAGCAGTTTCCGAATGTCAGGTTTAATAAGATATCTCATGTTCTTTCAACATGGTGGAGGCCTTCTAAAATTTTCATTAAAACTCTTGACTTCAATGGGATCTTAACTAGATTAAGCTACTCGGGAATAATAATATTAATAATCGGATATTTACCTAACAGAAATTGTAATCTTGTTAATTATGGTATAAAATATCAAATCTGAACTATGATCGACCTCCCTCCTCTTTCAACCATATCTAAGTTATAAGGGGTTTTGGGGTTTTGGGGTTTTGGGG